ATATATATATATATATATATATATATATATATATATATATATATATATATATTAAGAGTGTAAACGTTATAAAAGGAATAAATGTTCAACAAAACGTGATAAAAAAAAATCATGATACAAACAGAGTAAAATGACTGCTTTATAAAAATACATTTATTATAAACGAATGCACATGGAAGTGTTCGGTAAAAAAGAATTGTAAAAACTCAAAATATATTTTTTTCATTTTGTTTCATGGGTTATTAAATGATATTAGGCATGTTTTTAATATAGTGTTTTTGTTAACAGTTAGCCTACATATTATTTTGAAGAAGAGCTAACCATTTTTTTTTCTTCAAATCGCCGAAGTTAGCCATCTTAATCAAAATAGCCACCACAAATTAGTTCAATCATCGGACCAAATTTTCTCATTAACTTTCATGATATAATTGTACTTTCTATTAATCTCTTCTAGCTGTTGTTGCTGTTTTTGTCGTTCTCTATCTCTCAACATCTGAAATGTTTCCTCTCTCTTTAAGGCTTCATGCTCCAACTTTGTCTTTCGCTCTTGTTCTTTGATCTCGTTCTTCTGCTGAAGCTTAATCTTGCGCTCCTCGTCCTGTTTGCACTGTCTAAGACGACGTTCGTACTTGTCGCTTTGTCGTTTCATATCTTTCTCAAGCGCTTTCACCCGTTTCTCTTCCTCCTTTTTCTGTTTCGCCTTTGCATCGCTCAGTTTGTCAAAAACTATAATTTCGTCTTCGATCACGTGCACCATGCAATCGACCGTCTGCGCGAGGTCAAGAAGGACACCCGTTCCACGATCTTGATCTATAACGCTTTTGTGCAATTCTTTGGCTTTTTCCTCAAGCTGCCACAGGTCCTGCTTCGTACTCTCTGTACTCTTTGCTTTTTGTATTATTTCAAGACTGTGCATGATGAATTTCGTTTCTTCAAGGGTTTTCTTTTCGATAATTGGCAGTTTGGATTCCACAATATATGTTTTCCGCTGCTCCTTGGCCTCGCGAAATTCTTCATGTGTGTAACGTTTTTCCCTCCAACGCAAATTGTCCACCATGGTGACAAGTTCATCAAGCTGTTTCTGTTTTTTGTCTTCATCCTTTGACCGATTGTCTATCAAAATTACGCGATGACAACATTCTTTCATCAAATCTTTAAAAACACCGATTTGTCTGCCGCACCATTGCTGAAAAGTAAATCCATCGTCTTCACCTTCAAAAGAGTCGCCGTAAGTTAGAACCAGAATACAGAAGTCCCTAACAAAATCTTCTCCGAAGATCTCTTTTAAAAACTCCACCGTTTCTTTGTCCTCAGCCGTGAATCTCGTTCCGAATTTGTTTACCAGAAGGAAAGCGTGATAACCTCGTGGATTGGCTGCGATGGCTGCCTTCATTGAATTGATGACAAGATCCTTAGCAGATTCATTGTCCATGCGAGTGTCCCCCACACCAGGTCCGTCAACAACCATTATGGTTCGTCCGTTATAATCACTGACCTCAGATTCAATGTCCAGTGTTACCGATGACTGACTATTTACGCTGCGAAACACATTCCGTTGCAAGATGGTGTTTCCTAAAGCACTCTTGCCGTTCCCAGTTTTTCCAATCAGCAGAAGGTCGATGTCCATATTTCGATCCCGTACGGAACCTACAATGAAATGAATAAAACTCAGTTGTACCTTTGTTATCATACATCTTCATGTTATTTTTTACGTTCACAATTATTTACATCTAAAATATCTTGATTTCAAGGAAATGTTGTATGAGAACTTTTTGAATTTGATAAAAAAAATTCATCTTTATACTATTAGCAAATACTTTATATATTCGTAATATTTTTTATGAACATTTTTATTTTGAATTTATATTGCTGCTATCAAAATTATATATATATATATACCGGTATAAATATAGTGCATGCAGAATATTTTATAACTTAATGCACTACTAATTATGGGAAACATGTTTAAGCTGCAATCTTTTTACAAACTATTTTCTAAAATACATAGAATTATCTCTTTGTTCTTAGTAATCAATAACGTAGATTATTATTTTTAAAAATAAATAAGTTAATTTCTTATTTTATCCAACATCACCAGGCTCCCTCATCTTTCCTTGTGCTCAAATACAAATTTTGGCGGTTGTCACTATTGCAAATGTATTGTCTTCATGCACACATATGGGCTTGACTGTTACTNATATATAAATAAAAAATAATATATATATATATATATATATATATATATATATATATATATATATATATATATATACATACATGTATATATTTATGTATTATTTAACGTTTACTTACTCATTTTATCTGTGGAATTTCAAGTACACTTTTGGAAACAATGTTAATTTAGAGCACTCGGTAGCCGTTATGCACAGCCAGCAATGTTAAATCAGAGCCCTCAGTAGCCCATATGCACAGCCAGCAATGTTAAATTAAAGCACTCGGTAGCACATTTTGTCAGCCAGCGATTTTAAATTTGAGTACTCGGTAGTACATATGCAGAGCCAGCAATTTTAAATAAGAGCACTCGGTAGCACATATGCGCAGCTAGTTGCAACAAAATTAATACAGACTTACAGTGGCAGAAAAAGTCTTTTTAAGGCTTGCCTCAAATGGTATTTCGTCGGGTAGAGTGGAACGATTGGCAACTGATTTTCCAGGAATATGTTAATGTTTAGTATTGCAAATGTAGGCCACGTTCCTTTTAAAATAATCATAATGGAAGGTGCCAGACGCGCGAAATACGTTTTATCATGTGTCGGCTTCAATTGAAATATGTATTTATTCTAACATCTAATGTGTCATTTGACTTTAAATGTCAAAATGGTCAGTTTGATTTTAAATGACACGATGGTCAATTTAATTTTAAGTGACATATCGGTCATTTTTATTTGTAAATGACATAATCGCCAGTTTAATTGTAAAAACGAAATGACCAATTTTAATTTAAATGACGTAATGGTCAATTTGATTTTAAATTGCATAAGGGCCAAATTGATTGGTAAATGATACGATGGCCAGTTTGATCGTAAATGACATGATGATCCGATTGATTGTAAATGACATAATGGCCAGTTTTATTGTAATTGACATGATGGTCAGGTTTTATTATAAACGACATAGCGGCATCACTAACAGGGGCTCTTGGCAAATGAAAGCCCTAGCTCCACCATTTCTCTCTAAACCATTTTTATAACATCATAAACTTAATCAAAGGGCCAAACATAGGTTATACGACTATGTATTTATATCACAACATTCAACGTTCTCATTTACTTAAATTCCCATATGGCTTATTTGGCGCTATCAGCTGGGTTCGTGGGTGGGGGAGGCAGTAAGGTAATTTAATAAAATTTTTAATCACTTTAATTTGAAAGGGAGTTTTAGATTTCGATTTTGTGAGAAAATGCAACATTTAGTTAGGGCTACCAAGCGTCCACATTTAGTTCGAGCAGTCTCTATTTTTGACCCCATTGTCCGTACTAATTTTTACGTCCATATTTTCCCGTAATTTCCACTCGTCGTCCGGCTTGTCGGTAGTGTTGGCTTCGATGGCTTGCTTGCCTTATTTCCATTCGTTTATTTTCATTTCTCCTTAAAGGTAAGAGCGATGAGTAGATTCAGCGCCCCCCCCCCCCAAACCGTGCAGAACATTTACCCTCCAGACAAGGCACGTGTAGCAGATCCTTATCCTAGATCAAATTTCCAACCACCACGGCGTGGGCGAACTCAAAAAGTTTCTATCCGGGCTGCTGCGATCAAAGCACGTCACTTGTGACTCAGGCGGTACCACCAAGACCTGCCCGACCAGCTGTATTTGCGATCTGGACGCAGACACTCAAATGCCCCAGCAGACGTATCCAAGGGCAATGGAACCAAGGGCAAGACCACGTGCCCAAATAGCCCTACGCCCTGACGATTTCACGTCTCCAGGAGTTTTGGAGGAACTGACCATCTGGTCACCGGCAAGCCATACCCTAAACTGCTTACGTACCGAAAGCCAGGAGAATCGCCGACGCCACAAAAGAAACTGAAGTACATTTGTTTGACGAAGACGACAACCTCTTTCCAACGAACGTCATCTTCATTTGTCTTCAGCACACTCTTTATAATGAAATGCAGAATTTTAGGCGTATGTTTTTCAAAAGGCTAATGAAGTCACGTGCGTAAGAATGCGTAAATATAAAGGAGTATAACTATTTCTTGAAGATTCGTGGCCTAAATGTTTCAATCCGAATAAATTCAACTGTAAAATTTGGTTGTAACCTAGAGAAAACTTCATATTCTAAGGAAAAGGTAAATTGGACCAACTACTGGTCATTTCCGCTTTTCTAACACACATTACAGACCACGCTAGTATAATTACTTTGGTTTAATAAGATCTCTAAATTTTTATGAACTCATCAATCATCTGTGTAACCACAGACATAATTCAACCTGGGCTGACTGCGGTGGTCCTGTTCTACAAACAAACACAAAAACATAAACAAACACACACGTTAACACACACACACATACACACGCATACACACCAAAGTAAGTTTGAATTCTGTTCCGAGCCGCGGCTTGACTCAGTCAACTGTGAATTAGGTTGGCTCAATAATAAATTCAACAAATGGTTAACTGATTTCTTTGAGAAAAAAATCTTTCAACTCTGCTGCCCAGGCGCGGAAAACCTAATAATAGAATCCTTGGTCGAATCAACAGCTGATGATTTTGTCAGCGTATTTAATTTTGACTTAAAAAATTCTTAAGTTGCACTAGTTTATGAATTTACCTAAAAATATTTGGCTCTCATTGCGTTTTATGTAAAACATGACGTGGAGGGAACACTTAAGAGCAACATATTTCATCACGATCCGTTGAAATGATTTCTTGACAATAGGCCCACTAGAAAGGATCTTTCAGTTAAAATCTAGATGTATTAGATATAATATAACAAGTGTCGCTCCTGAGCTTCTTGTAACACTGGGCAAACATTGCCACTCGTCCCATGGTGGTATCCTTGAGTATACAAATCATGTCATAGCATATATAATATGTAAGTGAAAATTTGTTTGTGGATTTGTGGGTTTGATTGTTTGTTCCACAACGGCCTATACATGGATTGGTGTATCTTGACCAAACAAGACACACATATCCATCATTATGCAGAATCAAATGCTTGGGGCTTATAAAGCTTTTTATAACATTATATTTTGGGCAGGGGGTCCTGAATTCGTTTTTTTTTTCCTTTTATGGGCTATATAAATAAAATTAACAACAAATACTCCTAAATGAATAGATCGATCTGGGCCAAACTTAGTACACATACACTTGATTATCCATATTCAAATACTGAAGGGTACTGAACTCATAATTTCCATTTCTCTAGTTCCGAATACAAGCTATACAAATATAAATATGCTTAGAAAACACTATGTTCGATGTGAATTGATAGATCTAGGCCTAGGTTGGTAGCAATACACTTACACACTGATTTAGGTGGATTTAAATTGAAAACTATCAAATCCATTCAGGGCCAGTCTAGACTTTTCCAGAAAGTTTCATAATTTTAAAAAAAGCTATGTCTGTAACAATCTTCTACTGATTTTAATGGCAAAACTTTTTAAATTTAACGTTCTTATTTTTATGACTGATTTTATAGAGCACAACATCTTAGGCTAAATAATTCGGGATGATTATGGAATGGGCCCCCGCTGGGGCATCTCTGTCAACTTAAAGGTACTATAGATATAGTAATGCATTTATTTGTAGAATTTTCTCATTCGACAAAAAACTACTTAGAAAAGTACTTTTTACCCGCTTCGAGTATGATATTGAAAGCTTATTGAAATGTTAGTTTAGTGCCGTACTTTTATAGGTATTTCTTTAAACAGAACCTTCATGATCCTACCGAGAACAAAATCCCAAAAGGGAACATGATCCCAACGACGAAGAGGATCCTAAAGAAGAATTAGTATACTTCGAGTGACGGGATCAAATAAGGATTCTATCGGCAAACGGGATCCCGTCGGAGAAGATGATACACGGGAAACGGGGTCCTAAAGGGATTGAGATCCCAATAGGGTCGGGATCCCATTTGGAAACGAGATCCCAATCGAGAACGGGATCCAAATGGAATGAAGATCCAATGGGTTTGGGATCCCATTTTGAAACGAGATCTCAATGGCATCGGGATCCTAATGGGGTCTGGATCCTAATGGGGTCGGGATCCTAATTGGGATATGGGATCCCATTTAGATACGGAATCCCGACCAGGATCGTTATACCAATGTGTTTGGTATCCCAATGGGAATGGGATCCCAATGGGATCGGGATTCCAATGAACTTGAACCCATTGAAAAATTGTATACTTCTTGGAAATGGGATCCCATCAGGGAGCGAAAGGTTCACAAAAGTTCTTTTAAATGTATTTCTATAGGAGATAAATTAATTCATTTATTTTTTTTTTACTACAGGGGTGAAGTTGTTTTTTTTTTACCTTGCGCTTAATCTCAATGTTAATTAAAAGGCAATATAAGTTGTTGTTTTCCACAATGCAATACCGTGGCGAGTGGGCTTATAAAATGATGGGCTTCTCGTAGAGCATGAAGATGCAAGACTTTTTTATACTAATAATTATTATTT